AGGGTATAGTATGCGTTAATACGAGTAAACCAGGAGAGATAATTTTTGAAGGGATTAGATACAGCATAGGTGGGCGGCCAGCGGTGCAGGGTGTCTGGAGGTCTCATGTTGCTCTACAGGGGCTGAGAACTGTATTGAGGTGATTGTTGGGGACTTGGATGGAGCACAAGCAGAGGGTGAAAGACGACGACGACGACCTACTGTGCTTATCAAAGTGGGCTTGGGATTGGGCATAGTACGCTTGCAATAGGTATAGTTAGTATTGTATAAGTTATTGTGACGTCGTAAATCAGCATCTATATTGGAGTTTCACGACCGTGATATGAAAAACACTAGTGGAAAACGTATTTCACGACTACTGCATATAACCGCGAATATCGCGTTTTTTACCGAGTTTTACACTACTTCAAGTAAAACGGGTGAAACTCTATTATGTTTTGTTCTTTTCTCGGTGAATTGATATGAAGTGTGATTTACAATTTACAGTTTGATTTTCCAGTTGGAATTGGGGTGATCGATGCACGCATGCACATGACAAAAGTGTACTGTTGTAGGTGCCTTTAGTGACGGGTCTGGATGAACTGGAGCGGCTTGAGACTTGGGCTCGTCTGTCCGTAGGGAAGGAGAGGGTTATAGTGGAGCTACAGGAAGATGGAGAGGAGACCTCTACCACAATGAAGGAGGAAGGCAATGGGAGTCCTCCTCCTCGAGAGGAGACCTCTACCACCACCACAATGAAGGAGGAAGGCAATGGGAGTCCTCCTTCTCGAGAGGAGACCTCCACCACCACCACGATGAAGGAGGAAGGCAATGGGAGTCCTCCTTCTCGAGAGGAGACCTCCACCACCACCACGATGAAGGAGGAAGACAATGGGAGTCCTCCTTCTCGAGAGGAGACCTCCACCACCACCACGATGAAGGAGGAAAGCAATGGCAGTCCTCCTTCTCGAGGGGAGACCTCTATCACCACTACGATGAAGGAGGAAAGCAATGGGAGTCCTCCTCCTCGAGGGGAGACCTCTACCACGATGAAGGAGGAAGGCAACAGGTATGTTTAATTGTGACCTCCAAGAGGTAGTGTTTCGGTTCAGACGTGATGATGATGGTGATACCCATGGGAAGTCAGCTACAGCAAAGGTCTCTAGCCCCCATGAGGATGATGAAGAAGCATGTGAATCATCTAATGAGGATATGACCACCTCCGATGAGGACTGGCCGAGCCCTGACGAGTAAGCTTATTGCGCTGCTGTTACCTCCCCTGAGTGCTTCCCCCCTGCTCAGTATTGCAGCGGGGATATTGGACAACAGCGACTGGGCTGCACAGTGTATTCAATCCGGCGCTGGACGACTTGAAGAGTTCATGAGAGGGTTCACAGGTTATGCTGGGTTGCGGACAACAGAATTGCTTGAGGAATTTGCACGCATGCGCACGGTCATTTTATCACATGCCGCAAGAAGTCGATCGGGAGTTCGATTTGGGCAACCAAACTCCTACCTGAGATTAGATGAAAATTGGCCGTATTACTCGAGAAATCAAATTCTCGTGCATTTGCAAGAGGACGGCGCAAGCACAGTGTAGTGGAGTTTCGCCCGTGATATGAAAAACACTAGGGAAAAATATATTTTACAATTCACATCGCGGAAAACAAGTGCGTTATCGGTTGTCGCGGAAAACATATGCGTCCTATAATTTTCGTGGAGTATTACGCCACTTCACGTTAAACGGGTGAAACTCCATTTTTATGTTAATCGGAAATCTCTTTACTCGATGTGTAATGAAGTTTATAAGAATGCAATGTGATTCCTCTCGTGAATTCAGGAGAATTTTTTACCATAATTTTCTGAGATTTCAGATTATACGTTCCCTGAAGACTCAGCAGTAGTGGAGGAGCCGAGCTCGAGTGAGGATAACGAAGACGCGAAAGCTGTCATTGGTAGGGGTGGTCGTTTCTGCTTGAGATTTTTATGGAGTTCGTGGGAATGCCACTGTGAAGGGTGAAGACTATGTTGAACTAGATCACTTATCGGGAGTAGATATTTAAATGGAATAGATGACGTTTTTCGATTGGCAAGTTGATATTTCAGAGGGGTTGAAGACAGCTACAGGAGCGATAGCATCAGCGGCTAACTCGGCAGTGGGAACAGTAGGAGGTTATATAGTCCGCGCGGGGAGCTCAGCGGTAGGGGATGAAGTAGCAGTGTTGGGCGTGATGGAACGTAAGGGTGCTGCTGTTGTTAGTTACAGGGCTTGCGAGAGGAGATGAAGGATGATGATAACTTCACTGCTGCTGATAAAGTAGGGATATATAAGCTCTGTGGGAAAGAAATTAAGTTTGAACTCGCTGGTGTCTACATAGTTCGGCCCTTCCTAGTTGGTATGTACTGGAGATTTTGGTGACTATAGTGCATGCCGATTCGGGAGTAGGAAGGTACTTGTTAAATATGCATGAGAAATATTGAGAGTAGTTGGTAGTGTTGGGACAATACAACTGGACAAGTGGTCTTCAACTTATGATCAATAGAGTAATTATAAATCATCCGCTGGGTTAGCAAAGGAAGACGAGTAGTATCACAAGAATCTGACAACACCTGTGTAGGACGTTCATTCACACGTTGTAGTCTAAAATGAACTAACGTTGTCTTCAGTATGGCCCGGAGAAAATCAACAGCGATAGCGGAGTATTGGTGGAGACATTCCGTGTCAAGTTCTGTAACGATTTTAATTTTCATAGTTGAGCATGTATATATATCATCTTGTTTGAAGCATGCTGTTTGCATTTTTGTATCATTTATCGATTACAGTAGTAGTAGTAGTAGTAGTAGTAGTAGTAGTAGTAGTAGTAGTAGTAGTAGTAATAGTAGTAATAGTAGTAATAATAATAGTAGTAGTAGTAGTAGTAGTAGTAGTAGTAGTAGTAGTAGTAGTAGTAGTATTCTGTTGGTGGTCAGGTCGGTAGTGCTGCTGTGACTGGACTAGCTAAGGTCCTCTCTGGGTTATCATCGGCTAAGTCGGACCTAGAGGGTGTTGCTGCTGACGAGGTCTCTAAAGCGGCAGCTAGACGGTATGGCAAGGATGCAGGTAGGCTCATCCAGTTTCGAGAAATAACGCTCTCAAGGGTGTGATAATAAGGGGGAAATGTTCTTAGCCGTGTGGAAAATTCATAATGATTTGTCCTTGGGAAGACTATGGATTCATGAATGACTTCTTGTTTATCGAAGTCGTATGCAGATTTCATAGGGACTAGTGAGATATGAATATAATAGGTATCATGGTTCGAGACAGCCTAGCCACAGCAGGCAACGCGACTTCGTTGTTATCAGTGGCTACTCCTTCGAACGTCATATCAAAGGGGATGCAACAGTAAGCAGTGTCGTATTTAGTGTGGGGGAAAATTTGCGAATATTTTTCCCACGACGTGTGTTGCTGACGATATGGAAATTTTGAAGAAGTGTTGAGAAATTCTGCGAAATTTTTTCGCTCGTAAAATCCAATACGAATTCATTCAAATTTTCATAAAGTTTCCATATGGTCACCAACACACGTAGTTGAGCATGTGTCTGTTTTCCTCCCACACTGGTCGCATTGTAATATTCCTTTTAGCTATAGCTCATATGTAATCTGTGGGTGCTTACATTGGAGTTTCACCCTAGTGACATGAAAAACATTAGTGAAAAATATATTTTACGACTACTGCATATCATCCCGAATATCGCGTTTTTCAAAGAGTATTACGCCGCTTCGCGTAAAACGAATAAAACTCCATTGTATGTTCCCATGTTACTTCCGGAGTACTCAAGATTGTTTATATTACTCAGAGCGTCCCCTTCTACTGTTGCCACGGCGTCAGTCCAAGACGCGGACTTGCTCGGATTGAGTGAAGACGAGCAAACGGTTGAACCTGCAGTAGATCAGAAGAGCCTTCCCGAAGTTCCGATGGCTGAGAAAACATTGGAGAGCACTTCGGAGGGGTTAAAGATGATTGAGGATAGCCGCTCGGTTGCGGAAAAAGAGTCGACCGGGGAGACTAGTGAGAGCGTGTCGGGAGTATGTGAAGATGCAATTGGCTCGAATGCTTCTACTGAGGCTCCAGCTACGGGGCGTGAGGAGGACGCTGTTCTACCTCTGTGAGGATAGTATATGCTGTTACGATGATGATTTCGAGCTGTGTTCACGTCGTTACGGTACACTGTTTAGCGCATTTTATTTGGCATAGTTGAATAGAAAAAGCACCATTCTGTCATCGGTGCTGTGCTCTTACCGTTATAGTTTTAATTCCTATGGTTACTATAATATGTATGCATTCTACCTGTTTCGGTATAAGAAGCAGTTTGTTTCTACCTCCTTCT